TCATAGATATGTTTAATACAAAAATAAAAAAATTGTGAATGAAAACACTTTTTTACTTGCTAAGATATATAAATAAGGATGTGGTTTCTGCTAACCTTAAATTATAATACTCTTTTCAATGGCACGTTTTTGTTTTTGCTAAGCAACGAACATGTAGATTTTATAAATAGATAAATTATCGAGAAGAAGCTTGAGGTATGTAATCATCTTCTTGATTGCGTGCTGTGAAGCTCGGCCTCAAACTTGTCTGTGCTTTCTACGTAAACGGGAAGGAGTTACGCGGGCGTTCGTAATATATATAATCTTCCTCGCTCTGGATAATAACGGAATAACGAAGAGCTGAAGTAGAGAGACGCGACGCCTACGCGAACAATATTGTGCTAGCAAAGTCAATGAGGTATAATTGACTGATTCAGAAGTAATAGGGTGCACCTATGTCAGATCTCGACGAAGATCAGGTCGCGCAATCCAAAACCAAGCGAGATTACGTCAGTTCCCTGATTCGCAATTTGTCGCTACCGCATAATAATGTTGCGTAATCGAGCCTGCAATGTTTACTGAGCGGATTATATCTCCGAGTATATGGCTGGGAAGAATGGAAATTCCTGCGAAGCGATGACGCGAGTATAATTACGCCTAAGCAAAGTAAATATGGCAACGGAATGGCTGTCTACCATGAATTTGTTGCAAAGAGCAAACACTGTTGTAATTAAGCGTAGATCAGTGCATTCAACTGTTTCTTCTCTCTAATGTCAGCAAATTTGGAAGGACATCGAAAGTAAGAACGTATGTTTTATTTCTAATTTGAGAGTGGATGGTTGTTGCTCCTTTGTCACAAATTTGTGTAAAGAAACCATTAAGAAGTTGGCTGCGCAGTATCATGATAACAGATTCATTTTTTTTTATTATTAATAGATGTAGCACGGCGTTATTGACGTAAAAGAGTTATGACGCTAAGATGTGACAGTAAAATTGACGTCAAAGTCTCACACGATCAATTATCAATGAATTACGTCATGTCACCTGTCGCCGTGGCGAATTCAAGTAAGGATGAATATTTGATGAAAAGGAATGACTTTTTGAAAAGAAATTGACTTATTTTTACGTACTAATACTCGAAAATTTGATGTGAAAAATATCTTCTTGTGAAGAAAAAATACAAAATAGTTAAAAGCATCAAGATTATCTCAATTCAAGATTAATTTTGTTCTAACGAGATCAGAGTGCATACGTCCGGAAGATCGAATGATTAAGGACAATAGCGAATCAAGAAGTCAAGTGTTTGGTCCGAGATAAAATTTATTCAATCGAGATGAAAGAATCCTTTTTTTATGCAAAAGTTTAATACATTACATTATTTTCGCGATTATAAATATTATATCTCATTTGACGAAAAGAAAATCGAGATGGTCGGTATTATTTTAAAATTATCCCTGTTGTCTCTTCTTATATTGTTTATATTTGTTACATGTACATTGAAATTGGAATTGTAATCTGTAGATATTAATGACTTTTAGTATCATTATATATATATATATATATAATTTGCAATTAAGTTGATAGTATAATATAACTCGCCGAAATTAGTGAATAAGAGAAACAACCGTAAAATAAATATGATATTATCGATATAATCATTTTCCACTTACAAACATATAAATTATAGTAAGATAAATAAGAAATGTTATATCGCATGCAATTTTGTATCTGTTAAAATGAATTTCACTTGCGATATACCATAATCTGGTCTCACTTTTTCTGATCTTGAAAATGTGTTCTCAGGAATCTTCTTCTTAATCAGACTCTTGGAATTACGGAAATCTTAACAAAATACACCGCTAGAGATATAGATATTTTAATAATCAGTGAAAACATAATACTAGATAGGACTCGTTTCAGCTACTTCTATAGGTAGTTAAAAAAAACTTGCTATCGTTAGCGTTGTTCACATAAATGCACAATTGCTTCTTTTATCTTAAATAATGTACATATGATAGTTGGCCGCAAAATTAGCTGTCTTCGCAAACTATTACATAGGATTTTTTACAAAATTATTCTTAATATTATTATATATTGTATATATATATAAAAGATAAAGTTTTATATATATGTGTGTGTATATATAACGTATAATAGGAGTTATTTAATATTTATCGCGTCTTTTCAATTTTAATTACATCGATGATAGCTTTTTAAAAATATATTAGTATATTCATATTCTTCACATATTCTTGTAACGTAGGAGCAATTTGTTGCGTATATAGACTTCATATTCATAAAATGTTGCATGAAGCGGTATTCACTCTTATTAACTCGCCGCATATGCTTGTCCTTTGAATTTTGAAGACTTTTACATGTAATAAAGATGATTATCAACGTAAAAATTTATTTAAATTTACTGCAAATTAAATTTTAATGCAATACCTCAATTTTAATATTCTTTATGAGAATGAGGCATAATCTTATAAGCTGGTAATTAAAGCTATATTAAACGAAATAGTAACTATTTCAATATTTTAATTATTATATATTTGTTTAAGCTGAAATTATCAGTAGTTGAAGTAGTCTTTGTAAATAAAATTTTAAGAGAATATGTATAGATATTTATTGATTAGTTTCAGTTAAAATAAACTTTATTTTAATAGAAATCTTGTACTTAAATTTTAACGGATATAATATCTGTTAGATATTAGATGTTAGAAAACTGTTACGCACATTGATTGTATCGATAAAAGATATTCGTTAAGAACCGAATAACGGTATTCGGCTCGAAATAAAAGTACCGTTTTTCTTCAAAAGGGTGTTTCACCCCTTAAACATGAGTTAGCGCACGTATAAAAAAATACGTGTCTCTCTTAGATTTTCATGTATAACAACATATTTCATGGATCAAATCGGTTCCGGACAGTTGTGAAACTTCCCTTGTTAGGTATATTTGTATGTCACTTGTATATCAACAACTTTTGTAAAAAAAATGCTTTCCTGCGCCGCATTTTGCAGCGATAGCTAAGAGTAAAAAAGTTTCGCGGAATTATTGCTTCATTCTATGAACCACTTCATGTAATTTTCTATTTCATCCCTAGAGCTTTACTTTTGTGATTATGCTTTGTCATATACAGCAGGTCACAGAAAGGTTACAACATTTATTTTTCGATGGATTTCGGAATACAGCTTGCTCACCGAGCGATTGGTTCTTACTTATGGATTTAACTATTTATGTTCAACCGCTCTACAAATAAGGCTGAGTTCCGAAACTCATCGAACAAAAAGTGTTGCAACCTTTCTGTGACCGGCTGCATGTAAAAAGAGGACTAAATGCAAAATTTAGAGCAAAGCATTTTCATGGAGAACAGTGGTTTATAAAATAATTCTAGGGAATAATAAATCCCTTCTATACATTTGTCCTTATTCATGTTCACAATAAATTTATTAATGTTTTCTCTCTTTCTCCTTTTTTTTTCTAAAAATTTGAATATTTTGATTTATATAAAACACACAACGAGTTTTGAATAAATTACAATTTTGTTTACAATAGAATGACGAATTGTTTTAAGAAATGAAATAAAGCGTTGCATTGTTAAATCTATAGCGTCAAATTTAAGTTGCCGCTGCTCCTACTCAATATAGCGTTACTTTATACTAAAATGGATGAACTTAACTCAATATAGTGTCAAATTGATACTATTAAATCTATATTATAATGTCAAATTTAAGTTGCCACACTAAAAGCAATTTTGTTGAAGAATCTAAAAATTTAGCTAGATACAGATCTGAAAAATAATTTTGTTGGACTATCAAAACAATTAGAGATGACAAATTGGTTACTAAAATATCAAAACATTTTGCAGCATTGTTCATGTTTAAGATTCCTGCAAAATTATTTTGATGGTCCAACAAAATTATTTTTAGATCTGTATCTAGCCAAATTTTTAAACTCTTCAACAAAATTGTTCTTTCAGTGCACTGCTCGTACTCAATTATTGTTATTTTATATTAAAACAATAGATAAATTTGACTCTATACAGTGTCAAATTTATCCATTGTTCTAGTATAAAATAACGATATATTGAATAGAAGTAGTAGCGACTTATTAATATATAAATTAAGTTAAATTTGATACTATTTAGATTTAACAGTGTAGAATGGCATGCACATTGTGAAATATGCATACAAACATTTGTACAGGAAGAATTGTTAGCAATAATCAAGAAGATGACGTGAGATTTACGTTTTTAGAATAGATCTGTTTCTTATAATACATCAACGTCATTTAGCGATAACAATGTTTCTAATATTTCTGTTATAGCTTAATCTGTTACATCAAATATAACTAAAATATAGTCAGAATACTCATTAATTCAATATTGCATTTAATAAACAAAACGAGAAGAAAAGAGAAATGATGAAACTTCGAATAAATATTGATTCTGAGACATTCTCAATCGCGCATTATGTCATTTTGGATTTTGAAAAGGAAGATCATTATGCCAAGCGCATATTATGAGAAAAACTTTTATTTGGAGTGCCCATTTACATGGATGCTGTACAAAGATTAAAATGATTATAACTGAAACAGTGAAAGAAAAAGAGAGGAAATATATTGAACAAATGTTATATTATTTATATTCTGATATCTGTACGTGGAATTTATTGAAATACAATTAAAGACCTATGAAAATTCACGTTTTTCTAATTTTCAATTTTATATTTTTCCATTTTATTTAGGGCGAAGTTGACTATACTCATGTAATTTAAGTTAACTTTATCGTTAAGAGATAGATTGTTATATAGGCATAGAACCGGAATAGATCAATTAAAATTACTTGAATAGAAGCGTACTATTGGTGCAACAGATCTGTAAACAAACGCGACTCACGATCTACGCGTCATGCACACGTGGACGTCCATTCCTTCCTCCTTCACGTGAGAACGTGATCAAAAGCGATGGCAACAACACGAGGGTGGGAACTTTTTTTTCGGGTTGTGATGTTCTTACTTACTCGCTATGTCAGGCGAGGATAGCAATCTCTCACAGGAATTTTTCTCTTTTTTCGCTTCTCTTCCAACTAATCGCGCTGGGAGATCCCTTTCAGCAAAGAAAGGATGTCCTTCGCCGAAGACACCGATAGGTTGAGAATAGTCGACGCAATTGGCCGATTCTCCCTTTTTTCTCACAATTGAAGGCGCGACGCGTCGATAGGGGTGCGAGCCGGTCGAGATACGCGTTGGTCGTCGTCGTAGGGTTGTTTGAAGCGAGAATTTTCGCGGCATCGTATCCGACGCGAGATTACTCTTCCCTACGTACGCATGATCACCAATCCCCTCCGTATTTCTCAGTTGACCTTCGCAGTGCTTTCTACGAGCTTGCGAACGGAGTCGATGGAAATGGAAATCGACGACGATCAACCGTCACTTCCCGCATCGCTCGGTCGACTGACTAGTTTGACTGGACTGCCTCCCCGTACACTCGGAGATTTTATTCCATCCCCACCAGAATCTGTCGGCGCCCCCCTTACTGACAAACCCCCACTCATGACACCCACTCACGATCCGACGTAGGTGCTCGGGGGTGCGTGAACGTTGAGGTGAATGCAAGCCTAGTCGTTGACCATGTAATTGATAGTTGACCGTATCATCCAAAGATCAATTAAAGGTCTGTTTCTTATGACAAAAATAATTGTCTAAAAAGAGCAATGTTTAGCTTAACGTTATTAACGTGTTATTGACAGCCGATCCTGTCACCTGGATAATTACAGAGTTTTTTGTTAAAGCACAATTATTTTACGGTGTAATGATTTTGCCTTAAATTCATAATCATGTTGTACTTCCAGGGTCATATAATATGCCTCTGAAATTACAATATAAGATTGATTAAAATCAAATTACTCACATTTATATTTGATTATTCTTATCCTTATAGAAATAATTATCATGTCTGTATGTTTGATTTGTATAATTATCAACTCTTTTAAAACAGACACTCTAGAAGTCAACTGAGAAAAAAAGGATGCACCTTTCAACTACTGTCCGTATAGTGAAAAGTTTTAAACTTTAAACCCCTCAATTACTTTGACCAACTCTTTTATGTAACTAATAACTACATCCAATTTAAGCACTCAAAGTACTTACAGGAAGATTCTCTCTCTGCCTATAGAGATATGAGAGGAGACTTACGTACGTCTCGAACTTTGTTCAAAGCTCAGAGTCTCCTGAGAATGTGCCAGCATTTAAGAAGTTTCACCTTTACTGTAAAAAGTTCCAAAATTTTTTTATATCAACTTGTAGTAAAACATTTTGTGATTTTAATTTATTTATTAATAAATAATTTTATCTCTGATTTTTTTTATAAAACGTTAATTATGTTCTACATAATATACAACAATCAAATTATATTTTAACAATTTATTTACTTTCTTAATTATGATTTTTTTTAACTCATCTAAACTATATCTCTGTGAACTACGAAATACTCCATTTTTAGGTATGATTGATAGATTAAAGTTCTGTTAAAGTTCTGAAAATGGTGTGTTAACTTTGCGAAGATATATGGAATTTTTCTCTGTGACCAACCACTTATACATCGCACGAAAAATTTTTCTTATCCGCGGACAAACCAGTTTCCAAGTTTATGTTCAAGGTTACGAGGCAAAATAGCGGCGTACTTACGTCACAAACATCGATTCGCGGACGTTCATTGACCCACCTAATTCTAGGCGATCGTGAGCGTATCATCGTTGGTTTCGTGAGCCAAACGGTCGCTAATCCTCCCACTCACGAATCGAAAGATCTTGCCTATTACATCTTGCATAAATCCTTTGTGGTGATTATCGCTATATCAAAAAAGTCTTTAATTATCGTCTTGTCGATCTTTTCTTGAACATTGAAACTCCGATATGATTGCTCGGACACAGTCGACTATTTATAATCCATGTCATTTCTCTTTCTCGGATATACGACTTATTGATCGCCATTTCAGACGCAGTTAAAAGACTTAAAAGCTCAATATATTATCGAGGAGCGGGGAGTACTATAGCACACCTGCCCAATTGTGCTGCGTGAATTTTCCGCCGCAATATTCTCTCTCTGTTGTCGCTAATTAAAAAGTTCCGCGAGTTGCGCTAACGATTCGTACTGTTCTAGTCGAACTCAGCCTGGGAAAGTTTCATTCACGCATACATATTTGCAAGTTAACATAGCTTCCACGTTCTCATTTTGCAATTGTAATAATGGCGGTCATTGTAATAATGGCGGTCATTGTAGTTATTAGTAACATTTCGATTAACTAGTAGTGTATACGTAATTTTTGCAGGTATTAAAAAATCGAAATTTCCAACAAAAACGGTGACAAATAGTAAACTCTCACTGAATTATAAATTATGATCTTTTTTGGAAATTATTAGAATTATTAATCTTTTTAAATTAATTTAAATTAATTTAATAAAATTTTTTTAGATCGCTTGTTATTAAATATATATCGCTGATATATATTTAGCAAATTATTATAAATTGTGAATTGGAAACTTGTATGTTAATATATTGTCTTCAATTATTCAAAAGTTGTGTGCTGTTATATTAATGATTATTGAGAATATCTGCTAGATTGTTTATTGATGATAAAATGCAAACGACTGTACAAGCGATAAAAAGTCAGTTTGAAGTAAATTATTAATCTTAGTGAAAACTACAAGAATAACTTATTTATCGATATAATTATAATGAGCTTTAGCTATGGATTTTATGAAAATCCTTCGATTGCATGCATTATAAATCCCTTCCTACCTATATGTAACATTGCTATAGTTTCGATTTAATTATGTAACAACGTAATAAATTCCTGAATGCATCGTAAACGTAAACAACGTAGGACAGTCAGGATAGAAGACGATTAATGTAGATATTATTAATATCGTGATACGTATTACGATAATACTATACACGTGTAATATTACATGCTCTTTTCATGATAATTAACTTTCAATTGCAATAGCTTAATAAATTCAATGTCAACGGGCTGTATCGCTCGAAATATTCTTGAATATTTGAGCTTATATAATTTGTGGTCATGTATTAACGAGTCAATAAAAGCGTGACACGACAAACTGTTGACACGTAGAATTAATCTATAAACGACACACGGCGCTGCAAACTGCGTCGCCACACTCTCATCGATCACGCGGTTGCTTATACAGGTGTAGCTTGTACACAAGCTTGTACAGAGGCAGCGTATTATTGCCAATTTATCAAGTGCTACTCCTCCTTCGTATAGAACTAGACAGTAAACAGATTTAATCTTAACCGGAAACTACGAATACACACGAATACATATGGCTATTGACCGGATGAAACAGATCGAATTTTAATTTGATTGAGAAATTTTTCTTTCGCAATTTATTCCTGTTTTTTTATGTATGCCTGTCACGTAACGAGAATATTTTATCCTGAGAATTTGGTAAAATTAAGAGATAATAAATTTAAGACGATAGTAAGCACATATAATAAAAAGTCTAATACACACACACATATACATATAGATATATAAAATGCGTAAAAATAATAAAAAGTTTTAAAATTCCGTTCAAATTAAAAAGAACGCTAGTTATACAAAGTCATATTACGGTTATCCTTGAAAATCGGTTTAGTTTTGCAGCGAGGAAAATTGATCTCTTATCGATCATATTACCAATTATCAAATATCTCAAACATATACGTAACTCGCGTCGTTTTCAACGATACCAACCGCACAAATCAGTCATACGATTTTAATAAACTTCGCCTCCGGAGATGTCGGCACGTAATCGCTCGTGTAACAGGCGATATTTCAGCATGGTCGAATTACAAGTAGCGAAATCGCATAGGGAGTAATAGACCGTAGACGAAGAGACTCTTGGTCTACGAGTACACTGATCATCGAAGATCATCGACCATCAGTCGGACTCGAGAGATCGAATCTCAATTTGGTAGAAATGAAATTCCTCGCGGTTTACCTCCATTTCATGCGGCGTTCGTCCAACTCCGTAAAATACCGCGTAGCCGCTTGCTGCGAATTCGCGAGATACCGGATATCTTATGCATTTCCAATAACGCATCGCACTCTCCATTGATGTGCATTGTCGTGCATTTTTCGCGCAGCTAATAATTCTTTTTTCCTTTTTTCTTTTGCTGTCCCGTCTCCAGTAACTCGAGACTTGCGTCTTATTAAAAATCCGAAGCGCGAGTCGTCGAGTTGCTGTCGAATTGCATAAAAAATGCACTATATCAACATTACGCTGTGATATACGAAGAAATAGAAACTGATTATGATTTCATGGTACGTTTGTCTTAATTTGTTAAATTTGTTTTATTTCATTACGGGTATACATAAAAAAAATAAGAATATAAATGTGTAAAAAATGTGATATCGTGTTTATATTAATAATAATTTACTTAATATCATCTACTTGGATTTCTCGAGTTTAATTTGTCAAAGCATTTCACTAATGATTTACGAAATTTATATAGAAGTTAAAAATACTGCTTTTCGCTCTTTTATCGTTACTTTTTGCTCTTTAACATTTCGATTAAAAGGGAAGATTGTGAATCTTCGACATTCAGTAAATGACTTACTTGATAAATCCGAAATTTTCAGAACACTTGTTCAATAAGAACTATGTTGCACAGTTTTCGCTCTTCGATTATTTACACACGTTTAATAAACGATAGGCCGTTCTATTTCCTTCTGTAAGCAGTCGGATAATCCGTGAGAAGGCTGCCGGTGGAGAGTATGGCCCCCGGTCCGCCGAGAATGCCGCCTTTGTTGGCGAACCAGCCGTTACCGCCCAGAAAACCGGCCGGTTCCAGTCGGTTCGTGTAGAAACCAGAATCATTAGGACCCAAGAAATGCAATAGGCTGGATCCACTTAGCTGTTTCGCCGTCACGTTTTGTAGCACGTTGATTCCTAGAGTGTTTAGCACATCTTTCAGTAGCTGCAGACGATCATTGAGGAACGATTGTGGCGAGAACTGGATTTTCTGCACCAGTGGTGTCAGGAACCAAGAGAACGGACCCGGTTTTATCGTTGAGTTTTCCTGAAACTTTGCCAAAAGGATTGATTTTACGTCAATGTCTTTGGAATGCATTTTTATGACGTTTCATGACATAGAGAGAAATTATGAAAATTATATATAGGTTTTTTATTTAAAAATTAAAAATTGAATTGGGAACATGATATTCTCAATAATATAAAAATTTATGCAGAAAATATAATATCTATATATCTGATATCTGAATTTTTCAGAAAAATTATATAAGATTGATCGATAGTTGTCAATTTAATTTATAACTTATTTATTTCAACTAAGATATGCTAATACTATGGACATACTAATGCTATAATCCAGGTAGACCACAGAGTTATAATTAAGTCATAATATATATAGCACATTATCATGACGTCATTTGTCTCTTAAAAATGAATTTGTAGTGAAAAATAATATTTGTAACGATGTTATTATATTATTATGACTTCTGTGTTCTACTTTGGAATCATATATATAATCTCAATTATTGAATATGTTAATTGACAAATTGATTTTAATTAATTATTTAATAGGCAAAAATGACAATGAATAATTTTTGCAAAGAGAATTAGTGTGAGTTACCCAATTACTGAAATAAACTAATAGCCTACAATACATATTAAAATTATAATTAATTAGCGGAATGGGATGATGAAACGTCTCTGTCTCATCAATTTATAAAGATACACTTACTGATTGTATGGTCGTATCGATCATGGTACCAACTGCCGAGTCTGTAGCATCAGTTCGCATGGTTTCCTGTATTGATGCTTCGTTAGTCGGCAAAGCAGAATTCTGTTGTTTATTTGATCCAAATGGATTTTTTTGCAGATTTGTGTTATCACGCTCAATTTCATTGATAGATTCGTCGATCGATGGGTTTAATGGTTTCGCCTGCGCTGTTGCAGCCTGTAGAAATTTTTATTTACCTCTATTATTATGCGATAATACAATAGATATATTTCTGAAGAGTTAGCTAATTTATATATATGCCTTAATATAATGCCTGCATATGTTCGACATTAAATCGTTAATGTCAAGTAAGATCCTAGCAAGCTCAAGAGGCATCTTTTTAAATATGACAAAATTATAGAGATAAATTCAAGAATTATTTTGGAGGGAATAAAAATATAAAGAAAATATTATTCGTCAATTCACAAATATTTAAAATTTTTGTATTTAGTTTAAATTGGAATTAATTGTATAATAATAAATTTGAAGAGACAAATTTATTTTACGTTACGTTACACATTTAAAACTTTATTTTAATAAACAATTTATTAATTTTGACAAAAAGGACTTCGTGAAAGTTTGATATACTACCAAGTTTTGAGGCGAATTTCTAATTTATGGGTTAACAACTTACCACTGCAAATAACAGCCACATAAATCTTGTCGCTCTTGCCATCATTAGGTAGAATATTGTACTAAGGAAGCTCTGACAGCGTTCTACGTAACTTATTCCTACGATATAGAGTATACCGGTTAGAACTCACAAGAAACACATCGTATATATACTTAACGCCGTTTATATATGCCGTCTCATGCGTAATAAGCAGGACGTAATCGCATAAGGGCGCCCACATGTGCACGTTATAGCGGCAGACATCAGTTGTAATGATAAAACGTATTTCGTTGAGAAACAAATTGCGAAGAGAAATGCTCCCGTTACTGCGTGGCACGCAGTCCCAGTTCAAATGAAAAAAAATATTTGGAGTGCGCGATTACTCTCTTTGACCATTAAACGAAACTAACGTATCCTGTATATAATTGTAGCATGATATTATTTGAAGTTATCTCAATATTTTTTTTAACGTCAGCTCGATAATTGAAAATTTTCTCTCTCTTGATAATAATAGAAGAAAAATATTATCCACATTTTGCGTTCTGAAAAATCAAATGATTTTCTTATGTTCTTTTCCAAATGGAATATATGAATATTAATTGTTTTCGTTCACTTCAGAATGAAGTTTGTATCAACCTTGCATATATTAAAATAACATACTGAACTAATTGAAAATGCAACAGCAGCGGAGCGAATGATGACTTGGATAATAGTTGTATCCGTTGTATCTTATCTTACAACATGCACAAATGTATTTTAACGATAGGAACAAGAAATTTGATACGATAACGAATGGCGAAAACTTTTCGTAGTTCGTTTATAATAAACTGCATGAGTAGAATAAAAATTATTTTTGCTTGTAACAATTTAATAATTATATAACAGTTAACGAACGCATGTTATTATATTGAATATATTTGCCAATTCTAATTGTTTTCTTTAACGATATTTTATTGTAATATGATGTTTTAACATAAAAGAAATATTTTATTTTAGTTGTCTGTTTTATCATGTTAGGACAAATTTTTACTTTCAATGCGATATATTTTTAATTTGTCAAAATATGAGAATTCATCTTTTAACGGAACCTTTACTTTGCAAATAAGAGCGAATTTCGTGATGAAGAGTGGTCTTTTATAAGACAACAACATTTTCGAAGTCGCGAACAGAAGATACGTGAGTCGTTTGAAAAACCGGTCGGGTCATTTTTATCGATTGTTCTGGGACAAAGTGCTGTGACCGACTCTCCTTGAAAGAGTTATTTTCGACCGAGAAATTTTACTTTTATTGGGTTGTTCTTGCGAAATCGTCGTGAAGGTCGGAACTCCATCGATTCGTGGTTAATTAAAGAAGAAGCTATACAGGATGTCATTAACCGATTAAATCACTCATCAATCAGTGAGCAGGTAAAGTGAACCGAACTGAGTCGAAAAGTCCTCTACCATTTCACAATTTTCGCAATAGTTAACAAGATATTAATTACTAAAAATGGCCGAATATGGTCTTCAATAATTTTTTTCTCAAATACTATCAACTTTACAGAAAAACTGTAAGAGACAAAAATTGTTTATTTTCTTTTTATAGTTCTTTTCAAAGTTCTGAGAATTTTTTAGAATTTTTTCAGAATTTTTTAATAACGTATTTTCTCATGATAATAAAAATAAGAAAATGCAGTACTAAAAAGTTCATAAAAAATTCTGAAAAAATTCTTAGAGTTCTATGAGAAGAAAATAAACAATTTTTGTCTCTTATAGTTTTTTTGTAAAAATGATAGTATTTGAGAAAAAAATTATTGAAGACCAATATTCAGCCATTTTTAGTAATTAATATCTTGTTAACTATTGCGAAAATTGCGAAATGGTAGAGGACTTTTCGACTCAGTTCGGTTCACTCTACCTGCTCACGATGGGTGATTTAATCGGTTAACGACACCCTGTATACATATATCCAAAATGTAGAAAAAACGGTCGAAATTGTCAAAGGTTTTTAAAAGAAAAAGCTTTGATATTACAAAAAAAAAGATAAGGAAGGCACAAAAAGAGGATTATTATACATTTTCTGATTATAAAATGTTTCATAATATTTTTATCTGAAAATATTGTGATTTTTGCATCGATCTTACTGTATTCGAGTTATAGTTTTTACCGAAATTGCTCATTTAGCAAAAAAATTGACTTTGTACCATAAAGGAAAAAGTTAGAATGACGAAATGTAACAAAAAGCTCGATGCTATCGTTGAAAAGAGTGAAGTGATTGAGTTATTAAACCTCGAAGTTGATTAAAACGGAAAATGGCAGAAGCGAATACAGCTATAGGAATAACTGGGTTATAGATCAGCGGTAGCAATATATGTGAAGTGTGCGAATACATATGTTTTCACTACGTAAAAGCATTTGTTAAAAATCGTGTTTCTGTTATCTTTAGTTCTTTTGCATTTGTTTTTGCTGTTTTGCTAAATCAGCTTTACATAAATTGTAATTTTTTTTAAAAGTAATTAACAAGTTTATTTGCAATTTTTAAATTATTTCAAACAATTAAATAATTAGATATTAGTTACTATTAATAAATATTGCATTTATCTTTAAAATTGCATGAAGAATTCAAAACAGTCATTATTTATTTTTATTTTTCCAGCATATTTTGTGAAATTTTCTAAATTTTTAATTAATTGTGACTTGAAAATTTAGCATTTTTACAATTTTGGTTAGAGAATAATATTACTTTACATCAAAAAATTATTTTAACAATTTGTATATGAAAATTTACGTATAGTTCCTTATATAATCCGTATAGTCCAATTAGAGAGAGATCGAGGACGAGTGCATAGCGGAAAGTCGGCTCCTCGTCTCGAAACGTGGTCGGCATACGGATGATGGCTTAGTTTAGGCATACTGTGATTTACCCATCGGCACCAATAAACACCGGCTCCAATAAAGACAGTCGCATGTGCGCCTTGTCACGCAATTAACAATCCTGTACAGGGACTCGCTCGTTTACATACGCGATCGCATAAGAGTGTGGAGGTGTGCGACGCCGAGGACGACATGGGACCGTTATGAGTCTTTTCGAGACCAGTCTTGTCCCAACAGTCGCCCGTGAACCTCGATGTAGTCCGTGAAAATTATCAATTTCTCGACTATCGTCTGAAATGTATTTTCTCACAGAATGATATAAAAATACTTCAGACCAGAAGTGTTTGATCTTTTTTTGAGTCATCTCAGAATTGTCTGTAATTATTAATTTCTTGTTTTACTTTTGTCAAGGCCAATGTGATACATCTTACATCTCAACAGTTTTAGACTTTTGAATCCTTTTCGAGTGATTTTTGTTATTGAATTGTGATAAGCTTATGCCAGAGAGTATAGCAGATTTGTGAATTGTGTTTTACAAAGTGCATATAAAGAGGTGGAATTTATTTTGCACTGGTGAAAGAAATATTTTGTCATGAAGGTTTTATGCAGTTTAATGATGATAATGATTCTCCGGCAGGTAAGTGATATTTATTATCATGATATGTCCTTAATATTTAATATTGCATTAGTGAAGCATAATGTTGCGCTATTTAGTGTCACTAACGCATATCAAATTACATAAAAATTGCTATTTTTGTATCTTAAAAAATCGAAAGTAAAAATTATTATAATTGAAATTTATTGTATAATTTAAATAAAAATTAAAATGTTATATAAAGGATGTGTAAATTCATATTTCTGATTAAAATTGTAATTTTAATTTTGCGTAAACGATTCCGAGCTTTAATATCAACATTAACATTTAACGTTAATAACAATGTTCTCGTCTAATTTGCGTTTAATGTGAAATATTTCCATATAAATACGTGTTTATATCATAATCGTGGCTAATAGCTCGGAGAACTACGTGTATTCGCATGCTTTAGCGAAAATGTTAATTAAAATTCTTCATTGCTTCAGGCTATCGCCGGAATCGTTAAGAAGCCGCCGGCTTTTTCAACACCAGTGTATTCGAATTCGTATCTCCCCGCTGCTATGCAGGTGAGTCATTTTACTTGATTATTAAATTTGATGAGAGAGATTCTGAACATTAAGTTCTCTCGCATATAATTGCGCATATAAATGCTTCTCATCTCGCCCGTAATAATCCGGAAATACTTTATGCATTTCTTCGTTAATATCATGTTAATATCATTCAATTTGCGTTTCATTTAATAATCCTTAATAGCGACATTAATTTCACAATTTTTATCTGTGTATAAAAATTCGAATAACTCTTGTTATTCTAATAAATTTTGATTTCTAATATATAGCATAATAAAATAAAATATTTATTAAAATAAAAGTACACTGAAAGAAAAATGTGTTAAATTTTAATGAATTGTTTGAATAGTACTAATATAACATTTATATGTGCTATAACAGTGCTATAATAAGAAATATTAAATCAAATTAATAATTTTTGTATTAAATAAATATACCTATGTTTACATTTATTAAATATTCAACTGGTACCATTCAAATAAATATTTGTTAAAATTTAGTACATTTTTCTCTCAGTGCGTTATACATATATATACAGATTCGTCCTATATACTTATGTATACAATACTTACTCGTTATCTATAAACGTTATATATAACATATTAAGTTTAAAAAAATATGTAATATCCGTAAAGCCTGTTCATTTATATGATTTATTTTTGAATCAGGTAATTTTTCATGCAGTTGAGCAACTGAAGCTGCTTCAAGCAGAAGAAATATTGCAGTTAGAGTTAGTGACTTCCTCATCGACATCGACGATCCAATCAATGAAGAAACAGCAACCGCAATCGACGACACCCGAGGGAATTTCTATAATTTCAACAGCTACGACCGCGAAAGTGCATGATGAGAGGACAGAATCCATAATATCTACTCCCATAATATCTACTTCGACTCTGGCGAGTGAGATATCGAGCCAAGGTTCATCCAAGACTTACGATAATTCGACAGAAGTTTCCCAACGCTTAGCAACTTCAACTGCGAGCGTTGTATCTGATCACAAAGAGACACCAGAAGTAAATCAAGAGACTACTGAAACGAATTACGAATTACCAGCAACGCCGGAAACGAATCATGAATCACCGGAGCCCGTGCAGGAGACTCCGGAATCGAATCAGGAAGTCA